CCAAAATCTAGTTTTATTTTTGTATTCTTTATAAATAAAAAGCAACTGATAACCATTTTCTTTAGATCCAACTTCAATGACCACATATATATTTTTTGGAGACAGAGTCTCACTTCGCTGCCCTTGGTAGAGTGCAGTGGCATCTTAAATCATAGGAACCTCAAACACGTGGATTCAAGTGATTCTCTTGCCTCAGCCTCCCATGGAACTAAGACTTCAGGTGCCTGCCACAATGCCTAGCTATTTTTCTATTTTTTAGAGGCGGGGTCTTGCCCTGACTCATACTAGTCTTGAACCTGTGAGCTCAGATAATCCACCCACCTGGGCCTCCTTAGAGTGGTAGGATTACAGGTGTGAGCCACAGCGCCCAGCTTCAATGACTATATTTTAAGTAACTACTGAACGACTTCAAGTATGTTATCCATAATGCATAGTTTATAATCGTTAAATTTTACCTGCTTACCTTCACAAATTTTTGCTTAAGTACACTTTAATATATTTTGTAAACTATAGTTAGTTCCTGAAACATCTTTAGTAAACTACCTCTATTTTCTTCATTAATAAAAATGAGTAGTTTATACAGATGTGATTAAATAGCAAACTTCCTTAACATAAGGTAAAACAGTCTTAGGCAGGGTGCCACTAGGAATTTTATTAATGTCCATAGTAATAAACAGGTGTAGATCACATTTAGTATTTAGTTCTATGACCAACTTAATTAATAAGAAGTCAAAAACAAAGTTAAGAACAATCCTTCTGACATTTATTTACTTACGGACAAACAAGTGGGAAGAGCCATCAATATTAACTCTAAACACAGAAAAAAAAGCCTGGATGTATTTATAACATTTGGTAATTTTTATGTCCCATTATGATCTTTTAGTGGAATGTTGTGAAACTAATGCATAGTTCACACTGCAAAGATAAATCAGAAAGAGCAAAGTTTTGAATGGCATGTTACAATGAAATGACCTGGACAAAACTATCTGCTAATAATTCCCGCGATATTTAGCACATGTAACAGATTGAGAAATCAAATCCTGTGCTACGTACTCTTAAGTGTTTTGTCAGACACGAGACGTTTTTATATGTTATCTGTCATATTCATCTCCCTACATATATTAATTTTTATTTAAAACAAGAAAACAGTTCTCTCTTCTCCAGATTCTTAGGTTTATCAGTGCAAACTAAAATGTAGCGATCTCAGTAGAAATGGTTTATTACAATGTTACTTTACAAAGGCTTATTCCTCAAAACATCCAAAATATGCTTAAAAGATATCCAAATCGTGAGAATGATCAACTTCAATGGCTTCCTCTGCATCCAACTTGGCCTCTCCGTGTCCTTCCTGTGACTCGTCGAGAGAGGCCAGGGCCTCATTTGTGTCACTGGCAAAAGTTTCTCGTGATGTATCATCGTCTTCTTGAAAATTCAGACTTTTAATAGCTTGCTTCATCTTTTTCCCCAATATCTGGGTTCTCCTCTTTCTAGCAGCTTTTTTGTTTTCATATTCCTTTTGATTTTCAATATAGAAAATATCCTATAATAAAGGAAGAACTTTAGTAAGAACTGCCATTAAAACCTTGTTATAAGACA